AGGGGGAAGAGGAAGGGAAGACCACGGCCACTGTCTGACCAGTCTTCGCCCCCGCCCCCCTGCCCCCGAGGAGCTGAGCTGTATCGCTTATTTCTTTATTTAAAAACTAACACTGCTCGAGTCCCCTCTGAGAGAAGACGCTTGCCAGGGAAGAAAGGAAGGAAGGAAGAAAGAGAGAGTTTCCTGCACACACAGACGGCGGGTCCGCGCAGACAGATGGTTTCAATCACGGCGCCAGGGATGTGCGAGCCCCCCGAGGGCGGCGGGCACGGGGTGCCAGTGCTGCGCCGCTCCTGCACTGCATTTCGGGGTTTTTCAACTCCTACTGATAGTTTTTGAGTAGTAGTATCTATGGAGAAAGAGGAGGGGAGAGGGAGGAAGAGGCATGCATACGAACTTTATTCCGGCAGCTATAGTCAAATCCAGCCTGCAGGGTCGACCTTACCGACACCAATTTTGTAATGATCTGCTCCCTGGTGACTACAGTCTGAGCGGTCCAACTTGGAGCCCACAGCCCTCTGCTGCCGACAGCTAGGGACGTGCTCCAGCCCCTAGAGGGGCTCCCTCTGACAGCCCTCTGCGCACAGGCAGCCTGCATCCTGCACACTGTGGAAACATGGCAATGCAAACACCAGAGGATGAAGAAGGTCACTGGATGGCACAAGAGGCAAAGGCTGCCATTCTCTTAAACACCCAGTTCACCAGAGCGAGCACAAACAGCATCTTACAGGCCAGCTCCCTGGTACACCTTTCCTCTTACTTCTACCAGTTTAACAGATGAGAACTTGGCACAAGATAGATAATATAAATAATACAAAAAACAAAAAGATGCAGGATGCTAGCTGTTAGGTACAGTCATGAGTGCTACAGAATACAAGGAATGCACATAAATCTTGACGTTTTATGTAAACATTTATTTTTTAAAAATCGCATTATAGTGTATTAACCAAACGATAATAGCAATAGAAGAAATATAGAGAGAAGAGTGTCATATGTACTCCATAACTGGAAATAAAAATACCAACATTAGGCATTTCTTGAATTTTAAGCACGTGCTTACTTTCCTTCCATTGACTGAAATGAAACCTAAATGGTGCTTGGAGTTAGACAAACACTTACGAGCTCTCCCTCACAAGGATACTTTCCTCAATCCAGATCCAAGCACTCAAGGATGAGCTATCCTTGGCTTTCCCCAGTTCATAAACAAAATAAGATATACTGTCTGAGATATTCTGAACTGTCATCCCACATGACAAGGAAATCTGCTGTAAACGTCTGGCATTTCACAAACCTTCATAATATTTCAAAGAACGAACGTAAAGGATGTAAGAGTAACTGTCATCTGGATTCTAATGTGAATGTGTGTTTCAAAGCAAAAGCTATTTCAGCTGTCAGCCTTCTTGGGGCATATGTATTTACTCAGCTGCAAAAGGAGTATTGTGTCACTGAACTTCAAAAAAGGGTGGGAGTTTGAATTTCAACATTCAAGGAATAATTTACCCCCTGAACAACAAGCTACTGCTACAAATACCTGGCAGGAACATAAAATGAATACAATTTTCTTTCCCAGTTAGGAAAATGACATAGGAGGGCCTTTATATCCAACCTATATTTCAAGTACTTTACCAATACAGCAAGATACCAATCCTATCCACCTCACTAGTAGACCACCAAAGAAGGATGTTCGAAGCAAGATGCTCAACTTCTAATTAAGTAGGAAGCAGTCTATTTTGACTACTTCATCATCATGTAAAAGATATGACTCAAACATGCTAATACTGTTTTTATCAAATATTATTTTTCTCCCCCATTTATGTCAGATTCAGTCCCCCAAAAGTCAAGCACCTCAGCAACCACCTAAATCTTCCACTGAGTAGAAGAGATCTGATCTAAAGTTAAGCCTGTATTTAAACACTGAATTGGGGCCTTCAACGTATTTTATGAACTAACAGCCTGCAAATGGCTTGTTTATTACAGGAGTTGGCTGCTGCTCTAATTAAGCAACTGGAAGATGATAATAAAATGTAAACTACTTTCTTGCTTGCCAGACAGATTACAACTAGCAAAGCTCTCCATAAACAAGAATGAAGGACTTGAAAACTCAGAGCCAATATGCCTTCTTGTTGACTGTGGCCACACTGCATTTCGCATAGGATTTAAAAATAGAGAAAGTTTCTGAGCCTATTTTGTCCTTACTATGATCTCAGTGTAAGCGAGGTTAGAAAAGCCATAGAGTGGCTCTAATTTACATTTAGCCACAATTGCTTTCCAAGCCTGTTTGGTAGCTCAGAATAGTGACTGCAGCCTCACATGCTGAAGAGTTGATGAAGGCCTCAAACATACGCCTCTACCCTGCTGGAAAACCCTCCTAGACTAGAAGTGGTTTCAAGGGAACGAATTTGCTTACTTGGCAAATCTTGCTTGCAATAGGGCCTCAAAGGCCAAAATGCTTTGTGTTTTTTCTCTACTAATCAAAACTAAAGGACTTTCCTTTGAGAACACATGCAAAAATAGAGTTTCTGCTCTATTCTGCTCTATTTTGAACTTGCACTCTCCTCTGCTAGCAATACCTGTTTCACTCACCAACCTATCATTAGATACTATAATCATTATTTTGTGCCTTGTAAGTTAAAGAATGGCAATACCAGCTTCCATCAGACATGCCATCAGAACACAGTGTAACATATTCACAAAATGGTGGCACCACCGTCATACTCCACCTCAGCACAAGCATGAGGCATGGGTCTTTCAGGGGTCTGTATCCTGAGATTAAAACCCTTCTGGCATGCCAATACCAACCACCAGACATGCTTCAGACCTCCAGCAAGACATCCTGGCGACGTTTATACCTCACGCCAAGCCTGAAACGGCAATTTTTGGCTTCGCTGTGCTTTTTCTGGTTTTAACCAGGCTGTAAGAATTATCTAACATCACCTCGGTGCTCCAACAGCCTCACAAGCTGAGCACCACGAAAAAAAGGCACCAGCTCAGACTGGAAAGGAAAGCATTTTAAGAAGCCCCACCCCCACCGGGGACGGTTGCTGCTTTACCTCAGGGCCCAGCAGGGCGCAGAGCCCGAGCCCGCCGCGGGGACC